ATGTTTATGATTTTTAGTAAAAAGGGCCGGGATTGATTGGGTTTATCTTTTAGTTAAAAAATAAAAGTAATAGTTTGGACCATCAACAATTTATCGAATTCCCCCACGTGATCTTAAGTCTTCAAGGTTTATCTATGTATATATATAAATAATCCCCTCTTCAAATACACAACTCAACAAACACTACCCATTTCTACTTAGCTAAATAACCATGACAAATCAAATGTCCAAACAAATATTCAAAATCCTATTGTCCTTCTTGCTATTCGTTTCACTCCTTTCTGATGCCGTCTCATCGGTCCGGAAATTAATCGATCTAGAAAAACCCTGCAAACATTTTGTCTTCCACCTCCATAACATTGCCTACAATAGTGATAACACGGATAATGCCACGTCAGCAGCAATCGTGAACCCTTTAGCAATGGGGAACTATAATTTTGGAAAGTTTGTGATCTTTGACAATCCGCGCCCAAGGCTTCTTCTTCTACAACAAGAAGTGGAATTATAACACGTGGGTCGCTTGCACATTGGTGTTCAATTCGACGCAGCACAAAGGAACATTCACCATAATGGATGCGAATCCGATGATGGAGCCGACCCGAGAACTATCGATCGTTGGTGGGACTGGTGACTTTCGCATGACTCGTGGGATTGCTACGTTCACGACTGATCTCATTCAAGGCAATCAGTATTTCCGTCTCCAAATGGATATTAAACTCTATGAATGTTACTAGTTTCTCGTCTTGGTTTGATGTTTTGTGAATTGTCATTTTGTTGCTTTCTTCATTTGTTTTTTTGATATGTTGGTCCACGTTTGAATAGTTTGTAACATAACGAGTACTATCATAATAAAAAAACATTGTGTTTTGTTTATACCGAGTTTCAAACAGACATCTACAAGATATTTTTAATGACCGATTCAAGATCGTTATGAACCTTAGGGCAATTCACTCAATTAAGAAAAATAAATGGGGAAGCCAAGCAATTCAATATTTCCTTGCTTAATATGATAAATAAATAGCAATTTTTCATGACCCTAATAAGCACTAAAACAAAAGATTTTACCTAGGTGTCATCAAAACTATACGATGCTTTAAACCCATATGTGAGGCACACCAGCATTAGGTCCAGGATTATCGTTTTGCTGAGTGGTTCGTAAAACCTAATTAAACTCAATTTTAACTTTTTGGCTATTTTAAAAGGAAAACCATGTTATGGCTGGAAGTATAAACTCTGCAAGCAATTTGAAACTTTTACTTCTTTGCATACTCTATTT